GCCTTTGCAGGCGTAACCTTGCGGAGGAAGTTGTCGGGGGCGTCGAGAGCCACGCAGAAGTTGTCTACGCGGGCTTTTTGCGACGCATCAAGAATGTTGCCCGCAAAGAGCACGACGCGGAAACGACCGTCGGCCTTGAGAATCTCCTGGAAGTGCCAAGGGCGAGCGCAGGCTTGATTCAGGACCTTGAAGCTGTTGAAGCGCATACCGACGGGCAGACCAGTGGCCAGCGCCTGCTTCTTCTTGAAGTCCTCCTCAGAAATGGAGGCCACAGACTTGAGCACCTTGCTGCCATCACCCTGCTTCAGCGAATCGCCTGCCTTGACGACCAGGTTACTGGCACCGTAATCAACAGAGAGACCAGACGCAAATAAGTTGCCCTTGAGGAATGCATCTTTGAAGACCTCCATGCTGACGCCCTCCTCGTCCAGAACGTCCTTGGCGGGGCGGCCGGAGAAGAGACGGCTAAAGCGATGGTCGAACTCGATGAGGTCTTGAGCAACGCGGCGTCGCTCGCTCTGGTAGGTATTTAGAATGTCGCGCTTCGCGATACCCTTGGCGGCCAGCGCAACTTTCCAGCCGAGGTTGTATGTGTCTTGCATAGAGACGTTCATGCCCTGGCCGGCCTTGGGGGAGTGGGTGTGTACAGCGTCTCCGGCGAGGAAGACACGGCCGTGGGCATCGTACTCGGTACCGACTCTCTGGCCGATCTATTGCAACTTATCAGCAAAGGCCATGATGATAGTAAAATACGCCCGGTAGGCAACTCACCTGGTATGCGGTCCACCAATCGCAGTACTCATACTCAATCCTGTACGGGCTCAGAATCTTCTGCGCTGCGCCGAAGATGAGCTCGGGTGTGATTTTGGAGCGGTCTGCTCTTCCAGACGCGTCGGGGGCGACCTCCTTCAACTGGATGTAGAGGCGGACAAGCTTATTCTCTCTGGGAATGACCATCAAACTGCCGTTCTCGGCGGAGTGAATGGCACAGCGCATGCGGATATCGGCTACGTAGCTTCAGGTATCAGCCTCATATCCACGACAAAATGTCTAGGGGAATAACACACGGAAGTCAGTGATGGGAATGATGTCCATGACACCCCAGATGAAATCAGTAGCCTCTCCATCCAGCTCAAACCCAAGAGCTCTCCGAGTCCAACTGCGGGCCCCATCACACCCAATGACATACTTGGCGTGGACAATCTCACTCGCGCCGGCTCTATCCTGGGCCTTCTTGATCAAGTCCGCCTCGTCATCGTCCCGGATCAAGTTGCTCCGGAACAGGCCGTCAGGGATCTTGCTCGCGTTGGCAGCTTGAGGAGGGGTAGACTCTTCCTCGTTAAGGGTCCGAAGCTTGACAGTCACAGGGTAAGCGGCGTCATCGTCCACTTTGGACAGGTCAATCTCCAGAGACTCGGGGAGGACCCCCCGCTCGACCTTGATCGCATCCTTGGAGTGCTTCTTGATGTTCTCCAGGAAAAATCGCTCGATGCGGCCTTGCTGGAGGACAATCTGCTGGAAGCGCGAGAGGCCAACAATGGTGTCTGGGATTCTGTCGCTGCGGCGAATTACACCATCATTGCCCGGGTTCTTGGAATTGTGAGTATTTGTTTTTGCCAACTGCCTTGGGATGATGGTGATGATGATGGTCACATACCCACATGCAAATCTGATAGACCAAGTCAGCGTGAGACATTCAGTAACAGAGTGGTACTTAGCATCCATACCTCAATCATGTGATTGGCTTCCTTCCAGGCCCGATCCGCGAAGCCAAGCGAGTCAAAGATCTCCAGACTGCGACATTGGAGTCCATCGGCCTGGCCGCAAAAGATCTTTGTGTTTCTCTTGTCAACAATGCGAGCGTTGACGCCGCAATGCGCCATCCAGGCGGCTGCCATCAACCTGTGCCGGCATTCACCCTCGTCAGTCCGCTAGGCATCAAGGGTTTAGAGAAAAGAAAGCGTCATGTCACGCTGTTTGAACTTACCCCGCAGGGCCGGCACCGATGATGAGCCTATGAGAAGTAACGTTAGTGAAATGTTGTTCATGCTTATGGATGATACTTTTGGTGAGGACGCTTACACATCTATGTTCGATTCTGGAGTGGCCATGTTTGCTTGGCTTGATCCGGCACGGCGTTTACAAACTTGAGTATTAGAGTTTGGCGTTTAGGGAGTGTAGGAATGCGAGGGAATCAAGAAAAGAGAGTGTGAGCTGTGCGTTGAAGACAAGACGAAGCGGGATGGTTCGCATATGCTCAAGTCGCGGGGTCCGTCAGCATCTTGACTCGTCTTCGAGAGACCCCTTGATGAGCAGTCTTGGCTGGACCTCCACACTCCCATCTAATGAGCTCTTCCTCTCTGCCAGATCAGCCCAATGGGTGCAATGGTTGGTCGAACGATGGATTTGATGCGACAGAGGAGTAGGATGCTACCACCACCACCTCCAAAAAGACTGCGGGGGTCTTCAACGGCGCGCTGGTGGGACCTTGGGCAGCGGGCTCGTCACTCCAGCGCCCGGGAACGTCCCGCCGACAAGGGCTCGGTGTTGAAAGGGCCCTGGGGTCATGGGAGGGGGACGATCTGTTCCCCTTTCTGGCTCGAGTCAGGACCGAAATGGAAAAGCATGATGCTTGTCCGTGCGCCATTCATATGGACAATGGGGCCGGCCCTCTTCCAACGGTTGGAATGGCGCGCCGTTAAACGTGGGGGCTCGTTGATGATCCATCAAGACTACGACGACGAGGACCGGCTGGATGATACATGGCCTGAATCCAACAGAGCAAGGAGATTGTCTCTTTGCAAATTACCTAGGTGGGGAAATTACGCAGCGCTCAGCAAGCAAACATGATAAATGAGTTCATTCGAGTTCCAACGGCAAACCGAACTGTTGGATGGGAGACAAACTTGACTGCACTAACATTGCTGCAAAGGTCTCAGGGCCCGGCTCATGCCGGATTCCCCGGATAATTGATATCTGACATTTCATCTCGCCACCAGCTGGCTGGTAACATGTCTGCGCCAGGCAGTATTTCTTTTTGCCAACACCATGGTCGAGGAAATGGCTAAGCGATGTGCTTCAGGTGATATCGTCCCCAACGGCCGGCCTAGATGCGACTGGAGGAATGTGCGCTTCTCGCCGACGTTGGCGAGACGGATTCGCAACCCGTGGAGACCACGGAACGGCTCCCCCACTAGCCCGCCCGTTAGTGGTGAGTCCTTTGTTGGGCCAAGAAAAGCAAATGGTAACCATAAATTGTGGACGGCGATGCATCCTGGGCCCGCGGCGTATCGGCGATCCCACCGGCAGTTACGTTGAATGGCTGGTTGAGCCTTTGAGGCGATATCTCTGCATCGCAGAAACGAGATTATGGGACAGGCACATCGAAGGATGTAAGTGATTACTCTTCTAGCGATTCGATAACGGTCGGACTATTGCCGCGACAAGGCCCAGATTGACGGGCGTACTGTTGCGCGAGTTAAGAGTCCATTGTAACGCTTATTCGGGGGCATACGATGTTGTCTCTCCATTAAATGGATCATCGAACCCCGGAACCCTTGGGCAATCGTTTCCACAATGGAGAACAAACCCTGGGCAGAATTATCTGCAGATTCTCGCATAAACAGTATCTTGATTCGTGCTATGCCACGTCTGTATCCACACAACTACCACCTTTTTACAGCTTGATTACCACTCATTGCCGTCGTTGGAACTAGAAATGACTCGTCGCATTGTATTATCACAATGGAGACACTCTGGCGAAAACACTCCAAATGGTAACCCAGCGTTACAAAAGGGGTGAATAGCTCCCGACATTACGAGGCGTTGATCAGTGCTCCTACGACCGGGGCTCCGAAAGAAGATGGATTGATATGCTGCACCTCAGGCATCCGAGCGACTGGGTTCCTGACAGGGTTTCGATGCGGCCAAGAAGTTGAGGTTGACATTCCTACAGTTCCATTGGCCCGCGAAGGAATTCAGAATGTGACAGAACAGAAGTGCGGTACATCCTTCTTACACCGCAAGCGAAGTCGGCTGCAGACACTGGAAGCGCGCAACGCGGGAAGACGGCTCCAGGTTCATGGGAACTTGTAGTATATCGTTTCATGCAATATACCAAGGACAACTGCAGGGGAGCCACATTGGATGTTGAAGACTATGCTAGTCCAGCCACCAGGGTTCAAGACATCACTAATGATGAATGATATTCTTCCGTCACAGTCCGCCAGTCTTGATGGAGAATTTCCATTGACGGGACTCGATTAGTGAACTCTCTAAAACTTAGCTCCAGTATGGATTGGTTCAGAAATCGTGGTGGCGTAGCGCCACAGGTCATATTTTCGACCAACAGCATGGAGCGATTAACGTTTGAACTTGTTGCCCTGAGGAGAACCAATGTTCCCGGCTGGCTCTCCGGTTCCCCGAGCAAACCTTCGATCGGACGGTTTGGTCCTCATCGTGTGGTACTCAGAGTGGGAATCAACTGGGGTACTTCTCTTATGCCACTGTCGTTATCGAAAGCGGAGCTGGCTCCGTGACGAAAACCCCCTGATCCTTTGGGGGTGAGAGTAAACGGTTGGCGGAGCAGTCCGTACATTGACACCGTTCGTGCCTTGACCACCTTCAGTCTTATAGGAGAGGTGAAATATCCATCATAAGCACCTAATTCAGACCTTCCCCTGCCATGGCCTCACGATCGGCATGGTCCTTGCTGGATATTGGGAGCACTGAACCAGGAGCACCGGGCAGGGAACAAGCACAAGGTCCTCAGGGAGAAAGAAGAGCAAGGGCACATGAGCGATTCAAGCTGCCAGACGCACGGGGCTACAGGTCCAGTTCCATCGATTCGGTTTCTGTTCAGAGTCTTCTTCGGGTAGTTATTTACACTTTGTGTTTCCCGCTTGATCTCCTTTCATCGACTTAGCTGCTGGGTCCGGCTATGCTTCTTCTGTTTCTACCTCAGGCGGTTCTTTTTATTAAGGTTATTGTTTGTTGACAAAATGTCCGCCGCCGAAGCAAATGCGTTCATTCAGGAGGTCTGGGGCTTGCAGGGTGCTGCCTATCTCGTGGTCGGATTACGATATTACAGCCGAGCCTCTACATTGGGGTGGCGGAAGTTTGCTTGGGATGATGCTCTGATGCTTCTGGCAATCGTAAGCATAATCGTCTCCAAGTTAACTAACATTTGACTAAGACATCTGCTAGCTGGTATATACTGCGGAATCAGTGGCGGCATATTTTGTCGTTGCGTACTGGAAAGGGTTTGCAAACAATGGCATGACCGACGACCAACGAGCTGCTCTAGATCCAACATCGCCAGAGTGGCTCTTGCGTGTCAACGGCTCCAAGACACATGTCATTGGCCTTCTACTATACACAACTCTGCTATGGTTACTGAAGGCTTGTTGGGTAGTTTACTACTCTCGTCTTACGTGAGCGAACCTGCAAACTCTTTTCTAGATCGTTCACTTTGGTGCTGACATCTGCCAGTGATGGGGTTCACAAGATGAAGCGAGTCATCTTCTGGGCTATGATTATCATGCCCATAACCTACGTTGCATGTCTGTTGGTCGCATTCATGAAATGCATTCCGTTTCAGAATCAATGGCAGATCAACCCTTCACCTGGGAGTAAGTGTCAAGCATCATATCGTAGATTAACTGAACTAACCAAAGAAAGACTCTTGCATGCCTGCCGTTTCTATATTGCAAACCACCTTTGTCATGGCCATGGTAAGTTCACTACTCTTAAGGTACTATTGCACCATGTCCTCTCTGCATGGCTAACACTATAGCAGAATACAGTAACAGACTTTTACCTGATGGCTATTCCGCTTCCTGTAAGTTTTGGATGGAAATGTAGTTGATTCGAATCGTGAGCTGACCTGACGTTTCGTAGATGGTGTGGAAGTCCCATCTGCCCTGGAGGAAGAAGGTGACTCTCATGATCATGTTCAGCGGTGGCTTCCTCGAGATGACGTTCGGTATCCTTCGTTGCGTCTCGATCCTTACAGTAAATGAACCCGGTCCACGCTGGTCCCGAGAGTCACTAACCAAATTTCTTTCCCAGGTTGGCGACACCGATCCCGCTCAATCAGGCTACTGGTCTGTCCGAGAATCTTTCGTTTCCGTAGTCCTTACCAACATGCCCATGGTCTACCCCCTCTTCAAAAGCGTCATCGACAAGAGCCGCAATGCGAGTACCAACAAAAGTGGCGCCATGGGTGACAGCCAGGGATACCGCTTGGGCAGCTACCCAGGCAAGCAGGGACCCCGAAGCCACCCTCTTTCCATTCCAAACGAGACGACGTGGGGATCAGACGAACACATAGTCTCTAGCAGTGTGGAGAAGAACATTGCCGGTGGCGAGGAAGCCTCAATTGGCTCTACGGATAAGCCTCAGAGCCCTTACTTGCCTCAAGGATCGAACATTGCGGAAGTTGCAGCAGAACCCGTCAACAACAATCGGCAATCAATGAGAGCAAGGCGTAATCAACCTGATGTTGACCCCAACAAGATTGTCGTCACAACGGAATACACTATTTCGAGGGCAACGCCTGACCCGCATGGGCCTAGGATGGGGAGATACTAACGGGACAGTACTAGGAAACGAAGGAAAACTACCTGAGATTAAGAGATTTCACTTAGTAACAGCATTTCCATATTATATAGCAATACCCAGTCATAGGGTTCTCATATCTGTGCTGCTAGGCCAAATGAATTGACTAGTTGAAGCGGGTAAGAAACACTGTATTTTCCACTTCCGATCTGCATCTTAACGCTTTGCCACTCTGTACATATAATTGATGTAAGCCACCCCAGAACTTATCACCCAACAATGTGCCACAGTGACTTGAAAAAACAGGAGCTTTGCTACATGACGAGGGACTTGCGCAAAAGCGTCCGCAACGTGACATTCCAAGCCACCGATCAAGTTTGATGTGTTGCAAATTTCTATTAAGGGCATGTAGTGTTGTGAAAGCTTGTCCGCATCAACAACATTGAGTAGATGACCACGAACTCTTTGGGAAGAAACCTCTGCACGCATGTCTGGCTACATGGCCTGTGGACTACGTGCTAACCTCAGGTATGTCCTTATCTTACTATACCTTAGGCTTACTCGATATAAAGGGGCGCAGACCGACCTAAGTTAGATTTCTTGTTTGCCTCTGTGGATTTGACTCAATTTTGCGGGTGTATCTACTGTTCTCGAAGCCAGGCACAAGTAAAAAGCACTCGCAAGAAGTTTGGTACATGCACTGAGGCGACGCTGAGGTGGAAGCATATGATACGTGTGGAATGAGTGGGAAATATATGTAAATACTAAATGAATGTACGCTGTTGGATCACGGATTTGTCCGCAAACGAACGAAACCACTCGGGACTTTCTCACGGCATTCTGAAGAAACACCCCCTCCCCTCCGTACCCCCCGTCGCGCGTCATCGACTAAGTAAATCCAACATCAAGCTCCCCCCCTTCCATTAAAGCGGGCACGACTAAGACATTTGCCATGGCGGTGAACCTGTGTGACCCTGAGAATTCGGTTTGCCCGGCATCTGGGTATGGGAGACTGGTTGATGGGCGGTTCCAAATTCTGGCTGCTGAGGATGGGGCATTTGCTGCTCATAGCTGGTCGGGACAGACCCTGCCACAAGTCCAGGTTGAGAATGCGTTGGCTGTGACTGCTGATGTGCTTGAGGCTGACCCATTTGCTGTGGAGAGAACATCTGATGTGTTGCTGCCTGTACATGTGCAGGCGGAGCCTGCTGTTGTAGAAACGCTTGTTGCGACTGTTGCGGATACTGTTGTTGCGGCGGCGGCTGCTGCTGCTGCTGGGGCTGCGTCGTCACTTGCCAAGGAGAGGCCGAGTACGTCGGTTGACGAAAGGGGTCTTGCGCAACAGTTTGAAACCTAGCCGCCTGAGCCGATCCTCCGAATTGCACGTTCGGTCTCTGCGGTTGAGGAGCAGGGTCAGATTTGAAGAACGGATCGATAACTTGACTCTCTCCCCAAGAAACCGCTGGCCGGGTGTTCGGGTCACTTCCAAATTCGTCACGACGGATTCCGCCAGCGCGGTTGAGGTCTGCATCCGTGTGACTTAGCTTCGTCTTGTAGATGTAGCGACTGAACTGATCCGAGACTTCTCCGACGCGACGAAAATTCTCCCTTGTGAGATGAATTTGTTCTCCCGTCTCGGTGTGGTAGCCTGCAAGTGCAATGGCGCTTTGAAAAGCATTGCGAATCTGTCGCCCGTTCCAAACCGGCCCTCGCTCTGGGCGGCCTTGGATGGTCCATATTTGCTGGGCGAACGCGAGAATATCTTGTTCGTCAATCTGGACTCCGTTCGCCTTAACCTTCCTGATGTGGCTGCTCCATATCCTTGCTGTCTGAATCTCTGCCAAGGGGGGGTAATAAAGAGACATGTGGATCCTGGATTTGAAGGCTTCATCGAACGTCCCAACCCGATTAGTGGTTAAGAAAAGAATGCCTTCATAGTACTCTAGAACACGAAGAAACACTTCAAAACAATCAGCTGAGAATCTTCCGAGAGAGTGCGTAATCTTCGCGTGAATCTCAATGACTTAAGAACCTTACCAGAAACCAGAGCATTCCGCTGCATGTCGGTAGTTGTTCTTTGGGCGAGAAATATGTCTGCCTCATCAAGAAGTAATACACAATTCCAAGCATGAGCCAAACGAAAGATTTCTTGCAGTTTCGACTCTACTTCGTTTGGGTGAAGGCCAAGATCCCCTGTCAGACTTTGTCAGCTCTCGAACCTTGATGAACTTGAACCAGCATGTGCGTACCACATGTAATAGGGAGCAACGGCCGACTGTAAGCTTGAGCAACACATTCTATAACCAGATGTGAACATTAGTTGCTATTCTGTTCAAGTGACGTTGTGGTTGTCAACTCACCGGCTGTTGAAGTCTTTCCAACGCCAGGCACACCATGCAACAAAATGATGACCCCTCGCCCTACGTAACAGACATGGCCGCGTCAGTAAAAAAAGGTCGCGTCAAGTAAGGATTGACTTACCTTTGTCTCTCACAAGATCCAAATGCATTTTTCGTGACTTGTCTTGGGAGAAGTGGGACTTTATGAGTGATTGAACGAGCTCTTTGTGACCTGTCGGCAACTCAAGATCGTTCCATGGTTCTGGAGGATTCGTAATGGGTTGGAGTAGGTCGTTCCCATGGATATCGTGGATGATGGGAAGACATGCTTAACGTCTGTGGTCAGTATTGCATCCCCAAGACCTTCAAGAGCACTATTACTCACCCCATTTTCTGTTCCTTAGTACGAATGCGAACACTCTATTAGGCAAAAGCAATTGGTCGTCGCCAGATGGCGCCAATCCGGCAATGTCCCATCGCGCCCACTTACGCCGCTCCGAGACTAGAAATGCAGAAACTCCCATATCGGTGTCGTTGAAAGCAATCGGTCCAAGTCTTCGGTTGCGGTATACAGCTGCCAGCTCGCCAGTGGAATCTGGCGCATCTGCTGGAAGTTCAATTGGAGAAATCCACGCTGGAACCTCCTCGATGGCTCGGGTCATGTCGACAATTACTTCACTGTCGAATCTTTCTGTATACTCGAGTGAACTTCGAGCTGCTTCTCTCCCCAGTGCGGCGAGCTTCGTACCTCTGAGCGTAAGATGGAGATTTCGTCCAGAGAAGTAACGATGCTGAGCTCCAGCAGATACGAGCTCGATGAACTTTCTCCCACGCTCTTCGACTAAAGCCCGACTGAAAAGAGACTCTTCTCTTTCAGCCACCTGAATTGGTACTATCGGCAAGTCGTTGATAGCTTGCGTACCATCGAATTCAGAAAGGGTAAATCTTTGCCAAACTGGTATGTACTGCTCCCCATTGAAGTCAAGACAAAAGCATTCGACGACGAAGGGAGTGAAATCGTCTATGACAGGATTGGGGACCTCATCGTACTGAACCCGTCGCGACCAACGGCCACCACCGCGCCCCATTACTTTCCAGACCTTCTGCGGTATCTTGGGATCTCTTGAGATTATCAGGGAGCCTTGAGGAAAAATATACCAAAGTTCAGAGAACTTCACCGGCTCATCCATCCTTTTTATGTGTTCGACACGGGGGTTCAATCTTGTTTGAATGAATTCCTGCAAACATCGAAGGTCCAAAATATAGGCTGTCATCTCCCTTACATCTGTTGAATCGCTGCCTGGGTCATTCTGATACACGCCGTCAATCACTGGCTCGAGTTCAGCATCATTGAGTTGTGCAAGGTATTCTTCTTCGGTTTTGTCCTCCAGTGCCTTTCGTGAATTCTGGAGATGGTCTATAAGGTCTCTAAGCCTTCCCTCAAGTTCAAAGAGAACTTTGAAAGGCCGTAAGACGTGAAACGCTTGTCGTGGACTCATTCTTTGCGAGTGACTCTCTTCAGTCGCAGATGTAATGAACCTTCTTAGACGGAAAGAGTTGACTCGGATTCTTTCTGGTATAAGTTGATCCTGCTGAGATGCGACGGGGATGGTTGAGCGATTGACGTCGTGCGGTTGACGTTGATATCCAGGGTCTCGAGGCCTAAAGAGTTCGACTCGGGTTGGCTCATTGGAGGGAATGTCTATTGCAAAATACTCGGATTTCTCGTGGTAGTCGACTGCAACCTCCCGCCAAGGACGGTAATTCAGCTTGGCAATACAAACCCTCCCACGGATGAAGGATGAGGTAGAGACTGAGCGCTGACGTCTCCGAGGTTCGTGAGTAGAGTGACTGCCGGGCGAACCCGAGTCTGAACGTTCCAAGCCCCTCTCTGAACGGCGATGCGTTGTTCGCGACCGTGACCTTCGCTCTTCGTTGTTCTCATTGATTTCATGGGAAAGGGCTCGGACTGACTCTTGGACACAATGAAAGTCTTCTAGGTGTTGCTGGAGTGTCGTTTCAAGTAAGCTCTTCTTATCTCCTGAGTCGATAGATTCAACTGTCTGAGACATATTTCGTAGGTAGCTTCCCATAAGCATCAGAGAGCCCAAGATCGCATCGATTCTACACTTCACTGGCGAATGCGTCATTTCATCATGACCTTCCTGTTGTGCGCCATTGTCATCGACGGTCGTCGTAGTCGCCATAGTTGAGTCGCTCTGTGTTTGGCCGGAGCTTCCGCTTGCCTACGTGACGATGAGCTTTGTTTCTTGCCCGCCAACATTTAGACATGTCGCAATGACATACCTCTAACATATCGCTTGGAACGACTTGCTCTTTTCCAGTGGTCGACATCGTTTTGCAGCCTCGGCGTTGTACCTGTTGCTCAGATTACGACTGGAGACACGATTTGCTCCCTGGTTGAGCGATGGGCAAGCGGGAAGGGTACAGCGTCCCATATTTGACGGTTCTCCATTGCGGTAGCAATGGAACATGTAATCCGGTAATTGCATCAGCAGCCACCACAGCCTGCTTGAGGTTACACAGAGAAGTGAGACCGGCTTCGTTTCGACACATTTGCATCAGCTCATTTTGCTGTAGATAAGCGCGCCTGCATCCTTACCCTGACAGAACTGTCCTATCAGGAGCATTTCTGAAGCCATGCGGCACCCTCTTCGAATGTATTGCCCGTCATGTATCCAAACAGGGAGTCACCTCACCGCCTTCATCCGGTTAAGCCCAGTCTTCCATGATGGAGCATAGGCACACCACCAGCCTTGGCAAGGAATGTATATTGTTTGCCTGAAATGCGGGGAATCAGGCTGTGAGCATGGGAATAGGCGGTCTCGATGAATGCACTTTGATAAGAGCAGCTGAAAGTGACTAAATGTATCCATACGAGTAGTCCCTGATTTTACCTAACCTATAGTATCTATCCTCAGGAAAACATCACCCGTGACCAACAAGCTTGCTCTAGCAAGATAGTTCTCGTGCGATGGATGTCACGAATACAAGTTCGATCGAAACCGAGGAATACAGACGATGGATCAAACATCATGCGTCTTCACAGGACCCTGCATGGGCGTTTGACGATGCTGTAAAGCGTCTACAGATGCCCCCAGCTTCGCGAAAGTAAGTAACTCCGCTCCCACTCAAGAGTTTGGTTGTTCAAACGGCTTGCGATCATTAACGTGAATCGGGGTAAGGCTTGAAGCCAGCAAGCTTAAGTTTGACGAATACATCAAAGGATTCCTCTTGAGATCATCTGATTCGGCAACAAAGAACATTCTAGGGAACACAGCCTCGTGGGAGGATGTCCTCGTAGAAGCTAAAGCAGTTTGCGATAGGTACAAGACACAACGGAACATCTTCGGCTACAAAAACCGGTTGTTTACGACCTCGGCACGTCGTATTGAGTTTCTGATAGAGCTCGTACCAAGCGGAGACTATACTGGTACAATATGCGGCGGTCTCAAGCTGATCTGCAGTGTATGTTGTAGGCCTTTCAAGTCTAATTTATGTGATCTTCTAATAGGTACAAGGCGGCGAAGCGTCATCATGAGCTTGTCGACGTTGTGTTGAATGCTTTGGCTACCTTGTCACAAGAGATCGATGCGACCAAGACCTACGTTCGGCTCTACGCGTGGTCGCCGCTCCTTCGAAGTGCAGTCGAGACACTATACGTGGCAGTCCTTGTCGCAATCGAAGCAATGATCAAGTGGCTTGAAGGCCTCATGAAGGGTACGTTGCCACAGGTATCATTGACACTGAACTTGAGCTAATCGTGTTATTCTGATTTACTTCAGACTTTGGCGGCTTCAGGGCAGGACTCAGATCAATCTTCGCGGGTGAAAACTACGGTTCCGAACTACGAGACAAGATAACCACGAGCATCGACGAGGCTTCGGCCCACTTTGACGATGCAGTCAGAGAATGCTTCCATTTGAAATTTGATGGAGTTGCCGAGAATATACTCACACTTGGCAATTCCCTGGAAGAAGTTCATCAATTCCAAGGGGATGAATCAAACAGGAGGGCTGAGGAAGCTAAGCGACAAGAGATAGGATTGCAAAAGTCTTTTGAGGCAATGAAATCACTCGAGAATGTCGTTCATGGTCTAGCCCGGGACTCTAAGTGTATGGCCCACAATTCGCAGAATCCGAATGCTCTGAACTGACGTATATCGATAGGGCAAATGGAAGAGATCAAAGCCTTGAGGGCTGAAATCAACCAGCAGTGTCAGGGAAAGCCTCAACAGGTCACAAACCACTATCACCTATCCATCCCCCAAGTCACAGCTTCTCAATTATTGTCGGCACTTGGTTTCGGTTTGTTGTCGAACGCTGAGACTCAGGCGGTCTCTGCTATACAGAGAGATTCGGAGTTTGTCGTTTTCATGGGCAAATCGCTGAATCCACAAAATCAAGGCCGTATCACCTCCGTTACGCAGGACTTCAGATTTCAACATTGGTTCAAGTCGATGAACTCCGAAGTCTTGACCATTAGCGGCATGGAACTTGATGCACTGCACACCGATCTTGTTTCGCCCTTAAGCTACATGTGTTCAATACTTGCCCGGACACTTTCCCGCATTAATTGCGCTCGCCCTTTGGCATTTTTCTGCCGTCTGCACTGCGACCCAGACGGTCCTCTTCCTGGTTCCACTGGTTTATTGAGGTCATTGATCTCACAAATCGTTCTTTCTTCATCAGACCAAATTGATCTGGGGTTTCTAGCAGAAACAGACCTGCAAACCATTCGCAGTTATGATCTGGAAGTTCTCTGGGGCGTATTCGAGAATGTTGTAAACCAGCTGAGGTCCGGAGTTATCTTCTGTATGATTGATGGCGTGACCTTTCTGCAGAGTGAGTTGCACATCCGGGGAATGTATCTGGTCATGCAGTGGCTAGGAATGTTGGTGAAGGACATACAAGCGCGCAACAGCGGGCTTGTTTTCAAAGTGATGGCGACGAGTCCAGTTGGGAGTGAGTATTTCCGCGTGTGGTTCCCTGATGCCATAGAGATTGCCTTGCCTGGAAGCTTTTTGTCTGATGGGCTGGAACTTGACGAGCACAGGATGACATCGTTCGCGCAAGGCTCATTTTCATCTGCTTGAATTCAGTGCCGAAGGGGGGGGTCTTGATGTTGCCAAGTCGCTTTGCGTTCCGTTATTTTCTTTTTTTTTAATACTCTCATTAAGCAGACAGGTTTTTCAAGCATCCACATTTTGTCATCTAGCAAGCCGTAAATCTGGTGAACTATAATTTTGATTCCGTAATGGATCATGTCTTCCCGCCCGCCGACCATTCTGATCTTATCATGTCTGAATGTATAGCAGGTCTCTTATTACGTTTTGTTACAGCTAGGCATCGCTCGTCGTCAGTCTACGATCGAATCAGGAATCGTATCAGGAACAGATATCGCTTTCATCTTCAAGGCGTACGAAGATGTCGGCCCAGCGCTACAACTAGGTAGACGATTTGCCCCATGGCATTAATGTCGCAGAATTGGCCTATCTAAGGTTGGAATCTGATAATCCCTCGTACATTGTGAATCCAACTATTTACTCAATTGATTGATTGAACACTCCAAATTCGATACTTTCTGCCGCTGATCTTACTTTAGACGATTCTTCGAATCTCCTCAGCATTATGTCCCAGTCGCTTTGTGCTCAAAACCGTGGAACAATTATCTTATCTCATATCTAGCAGCTCACAGCGGGCGTGTCTCCGCGATCGGCATCGGTCGTAGCAGGGCATCCGCTGATGCACTTCCGGCAGACCTGTCCACTGCCCTCGGGTTCCGAGCTGCTGCAGCTTCCATCACAGCGGCCGGCATCGAAAGACTTGTAGTGGCAGTCGTAGCAGTCGCGACGCACGAGGTTGCTGCTCTCGGAAGAGGTGGCAAGGACGCCCGAGGCGACCAAGGTGATTGCGGCGACGATGGTGGCTAACTTCATGGCTGCGGTTCGGAGGCAATATTTCGACAAGTGTATAGGTAAGATCTTCCGTTCCTATGACAAGGATAAGTCGGTCAAGCTTTCGGTCAGCTTTGCTCAAAGTTGGAAACCTACCTTGAGTAGACGTCGAAAATGATAATCAAGAAGTAAAGGATGCGAAGGTTGTGCTGTCGTGCCGTGTGACTATACATGGAAAGTCTTGCCAGCTTCGAGATTTATAGTCCAACTATGATTGCTTCTTCCACTGGGGAAAGAGCAGTAAGTGATCGCCGTTCCTGGAATAACATCAGGTGATGGATCGAGTCAGTCCTCACGTTTTCCTCGAGAAGCTGTTCCACGATCGACAAACCTTATTCTGAAAAGTTGCCATTCATAGCTTTGCCTGTGGATAATTTCTGCAATGAGTCTTTTCACTTTAATTGCCAATTCAAGCACAGTACCTCTGATACGCGTACTATTACGCTGCCTCCCGCTCGTTGTTGAAGATCCGGTGAGGCTCAGCAGTCAACGTATGCCTCCAGCGATGAAATAGCTGGTCGTAACTACGGACCTCAAACCTGGATTGAGTCATGGTTTGATAATTGATGCTGCAGATTATACATGCACTCAATACCAGAACTCAGACGATACGGACTTTCAACTTACCACTCAGTTAGATTGATAGGGTCACGATTCGGACGGGTCCAAAAGCTTTCGCTCATTCCTCTTGACCATTGGAACTTTCGTGATCAGTCATGTCTTGTGTCCGGACGTAGTAGCGGTCAAACGTGTATAAGAGAACAAGGTCCCAGCCTGACTACATTCGGTTTCGTGTTCCCCCGCAGCTAAGTCGTCGCCTGCAAGGAGCAATGGTGAATAGTGGGCTCGAAATACCGGTGTGCGGATACTGTCCCTAAGATTGTTGAGTAATCTTGCATGCCGTGGGATCCGAGGGTCTCCATTTGTGGCCTTTCCTCTCTACGATACCGACGTCACGGCGCTGTGGAAAGCGCCATTCCCTACTAGTACTTTAGTTGACTCGACAGGTAGACAACCGCGCAAGTTGGAGATTCAAGACTCAGAATCTCCCATATTATTTGAAAGAATCGAGCTTGTAATTCCTCTATTTAACTCTATTTAACATTGTCCTGTTTTGCCTGATTCCCAGCGAACGATGAGCTGCTGGCCCTTCTGCCTTATGCAAACCTTCAAGTCCGTACCTTAGCGAGACCGAGCTTTCGGATCCGGCACGGAACTCGGACCAACCGAACTGAGTAATTTCAGACCTGTTCAGGACCCAAGGTGGTCTCCAGAGCAAATGACACAAGCCCCTATATGGGTATACGTTTTTCAGCTTGTCGAAGCTCCCAGCCCCATTAGGGAAACTGTCCATACCAATACTCATCAATCCTTCTCGGAGTCAGACAGCATGAGAGTCTGATCCTTGGTGGGCAATCCTCCGAGGACTGCATTGCAGCCAGGAGATCGTTTCAAATGTCTCTTGATGAAGGACGCCTTTGACAATTTTGTTCGGCATACCTGGCAACGTCGCCTTGGATCAGGTACGTTGTTCTCTTTGGACCACGTTTTGTGATAGCGAAAAGAGTGCTCGTTCCGCTCCTTGGATGTTGCAAATGTCATGGGGCACTTTTCGTCGCCGCATTTGAATCGTCGTTGGTGTCGTTTTTCGTGTCGTCTGTTGGAAGTTCAGATGTTTTGTGGGTTTGGCAAGGCATGGAAAGGGTCAGACTTACCGAAACTTTTCACCCGCCTCATACCACTTTTGATGCTCGAGACAGAAGACACGTCCTGGTTGCGATGCTCCAGAACAGTCAGTTCAGTCCTGTCCAAATACAGCAGGAGGAGTTCAATACCATCAACAACGAACAACAGGCTTGGTTGCTCCTGAAGGGTACCTTGACAGAATTCAGCCGGCTCATGACTTGGCGAGCGAAGGCCAGGAACATGTGTAAACTCCGACAACTAAGCCATCGGAGTAGGTCCATGGGGAGCTGCCCATATATTCGCATCGACGTTGGGGTTGTCGGATGGGTCTTCATTGGAAGCAGAAACCTCTACCATGAATTGTTGTTGAGTGCTACAGGATGACTCGGTCTCTATCGCCGATCTCTGGACCCTATCCCCAGCATGGTTGAAATTGGCTTCATACTCATCGTATTCTAGGCAGTGCGTAGGTTGAAACAAGTGATTGGTCTCAACACAATCGAGCAAATTGGGGTTGATGTCTTGAAGGGCTGTATCAACAAGGGCTGAGCTGTGATCTGTCTCAATCAGCAGATCGACCGGAGGCCAGCCTATTGGATCCCACGTGGACAAATCTTCATTGCCTAAAAGCTCTGTGAGTATAGTGCTAGGGCTCTCCAACTCCTCAAACTGCTCGGAAGATGCCTGGAAGCTCATGGTATGAGGCTTTCAAGGATCTCTTTCTCATCGAGTGGAGGAGTCGCCTGGTCCGATTGCGATCCGGACGAAGAAAACGTAATGAAAATGGAAAAAGTCAGCAGGCGACAGTCCGAACTGACGACATATATATACCTTCATATCATGTGTTCCCAAAAAAGAAAAGTGGGAAATGCGGGCGGGTATAGTCGTTTCGGTAGTCTGAAATTCGGTTTCCCAACCAAATCGAAGTTCACTGATCTCGAGCTGTTCAGGCCTATCGCTGCTTCAGACCTTATCTGTGTTGGCCTTACTTCGGGCTTCGCGGAGAAGCTCTCCAATGAGACGCAGAAGTGCATAGCCCTGTTCCTGGTCTTGATAGAGAGCCTAACCTTAAATCCGTTGGGACGAGCTAATACCTCACGGGATGGTGGGCTGGCCTCCTGCAGCTGTTACACAAAGTAAAGCGGCCAAGGATGACTACTTCCATAAGTTTGGTGGAATTACTACGTACATGTCGTCACGATCATTTTCTTATCCCGTGACATTGCGCAGACGTTTACGAAGCTGTATAAATATCTTGCGAATATGGTGGGAGCAACAGAGCAATGCTGAAGGACGTCGGCGCCTTTGATCTACCTATGCAGCAGTCGCTATTCAAGATCCATTTCTCAAATTCACCACATCAACATGGTTCCAGTTGCGACTTCACCACGTTCGTATCATGAGCCTCCTGGAGCTACATACAGCTGTCTATTTCATCGCCGCTGACTACTGCTACAGCTGGGCTTATCTCGATGAAGTCTCGAGTCATCAACAAGTTTTATGAGCCCCTGGTTCTTTTGAAGGCAATGAACGATGAGATGACAAGCCTGGCCGAATTCTTCGACCCAGATGATCTCAACTATCGCGGAGATGTGAAAAAAATCTTCCAGGCCTTTGTATACAAGCTAGCTCATGTTTGCGACAGTACCCCGGGTAACGGGGGCAGTACCGTCACCTCAATCATGCTGCTTCGCGGCTCCGAGGGAACAAATGTTGAGTATCATCTTGCATCAAATCAGCGATGTGTAGATGATCTCGAGAATGTCAGGGCATACCTTCAACATTTACTTGAGCGGGTTGACAGAGCATCAACGTCAGGAAGGACCTCGGAGCTGCGTAAGGACCTGCTGAACGCAGTAATCTGGTTCAACAGACCCAGAATCAACTCCTATATCGTCAGACTTGAGATTGAGATACAGCGTTGCATCAAGAATGCTCGAAATGGTAAGCCAAGCTGTAGAACGTTCGACGACAGTATAAATGACTTATCGCACGTTGATAGAGGAACCAGTCATTGAATCCCTGACAAGGACTCTCGGACTGCTTGAGTTTCACGATGACAGGATGGCCACTCAATCTCATTGTGAGTTCTACGCTGTTATGTATCAATGAAACTGCATGTTTCCAGGAATTTTTGACCTGATTAGATAATGTCGCAGATCTTGACAAATGTAATGCCCTTCTTCACAACCTAATAAGATTGAAAGCCTCTGAGATATGGGGATACATCGACCAACGAGCGACAGGGGTTCGTTTGGATGGAGTCACAAGCAACTCCTCTTCTTGTTGGCCTGAACTACGGCATATGGTTAACCGTCTTCTGGCATATTGTAAGGATATCGAGTTCTTCCTTCTTGCGAAAGACAACTGGCCTGAGATATTTCGAAACTTCATGATCTTGGTTCACCCATCGAGTCACCCGCTCTCGCGACCAAGACGGAACAAAAGTATGACCGCCGAAGGCATTGTCGGTCGCATGACCCGCAAAGAAGACATCATCGAAAGATTCAGGCAATTCGTCCAAGACCTGCAAATCATGCACTTGGACCAAAGAATTCAAGCAGAATACCAAAAAGACAACTTTCAGCCAGTTGTCCACTCGGAGATTTTGCTGCTTAATCACCTCGAGAAATCAGCGGGAGGCGTTTCGCCTGACAGATTCTTCAATAATTGGATGTACATTGGCAGTAGCAAGCCAACCTGCCGGCTCTGTGAGTACTACTTCGAGGAGCACCGGTCTGGCGTCGGGCATCGAAGCAGCCACAAAAACCTTTACATCAGCTGGCGCGTTCCTGATGTGCTCCAATCCGAAGGTCACGGAGGAGAAGAGAAGCGACAAGTTATGGTCGACAGGTTGCTTCTGAGGATTCGCAAAGATGCATTCAATCTCGTGGAGAAAAGGGTGAGGCCAACATTCAGGAATCACGATTCCATCACGTCATCCGTCAGCATGACTCTACATGGGAACTGGAGCGAGGCTTCCGACATATCTGATGTCATGGCCTCAATGGGAAGTCTGCAATTGAACAACGATGAAGGTACTCAGTGAGGGGAGTCAAATTTCAGGGATATAACTAAATTGGAAATACACGGTCGCGAATTTTAGGTTTCATGTCAGAGCCATTTTCACCAATACTTGACGCATGAAGACGAGCTCCCACCGGCGAGCTGCATGCCTATAGTAGGATTCGCATTGTTATCTCCCTGCCGGTTAATTAGCGCAATTACAGAACCGAGCTCAATCATGTGATGCGTTACACTACACGTAAGCGCCGGGGTGCTTTGTTGGTGGCTGAATCCCTCAGGTTCATCTCATGGTCATGGACCCCGCACCTGTTGGTGGCGTGAAGAAGAGGCGTGATGTTTGCGTTCCACAACGTACGACCTCAACACCTGCCCGTTGGTGAAACCAGCGCCCTTCATGCTCATAATGCCTTCAAAAATATTGAGCATATTTGAGTGGATCTCTAATCATTCTATAACGGCTGTCACCGCACTGTTGATACCCGTGATACTGCTGGTTTGCCTCCGCCGGCCAAGTCAAGATGAGCCACCGTCACTCCCCGAGGTCGTGCCTTTCATCAGCAACACTTATCAATACATGACGAATATCAGAAGACTTATGGAGCGTGCAAGGTTCGTCAAGATGAAATGCAGGTTGTGCCGTCTGTTGAGGCGTCGCTGACTAGTTGCTTGTAAGCCATTCTATGAATCACAGCAACATCGTCAAATTCTACCTAGGACCAATGCGTGTATACTTTGTACAGGGGGGAGAGAGCGTGCAAGCCATGTTTCGATCGTCTACCAGCATCAGCTCGAACAAGTTCATCCTACTGGTTATGAGAAACCTGCAAGGGTCCGCCCAAAAAGATGTGGATAAGTTCGCAAACGACCTCTCGGGGCGGCAAAGAGTACCTGCACCCGGCTACGAGAACACACCGCAAGAGGAGCGATATTGGTACACTTTGCATCACATTACTGTTGAACATCTATCACGCGCAGAGCCCACTGCTCATTTGGCAGAAACTTACACAAACTTCTTTAACGAGGCTTTGGAAAAGCAGCCTGTGGGCCAGTGGGCGACCGTTCGTCTTCTGGAATTCTTGAAGAAAGAAATGTGTGCGAGCGCCATCAGGTCGTTCTGCGGCACCGAGTTACTGGAGATGTTTCCGGACTACGTCGAGCAGTTCTGGCGTTTCGACAGCATCGCTTTTCAGGTTGTGTATGGGCTTCCAAAGTGGATCAACAGCGGTCCGGTAAATGAACGCGATAAGTTGAACGGCATGACGCAGAAGTATCTGAGAAAGGCCTTTGCAAAATTTGATTGGGACGGTTCTGCGGTGGATTCCATCTGGGAGCCCACGTTCGGATCAAGCTACGTTCGCAAGATGACCAAATGGCTTCACGACACAGATATGGCTCCGGAGACTCAAGCCGGTTTCTACATGATTGCGATCTTTGGGTACGTCTGACAGCTTCGTGTTGACAAGGTGCACTGATGCTGATCTGTCAGAATAAACGCGAACACAATACCAATCACCACATGGGCGATGATTGAGCTCTTGCGAGATCAGAAGCTGTTCCAAGCAGTTCGCAGCGAGGCCCTTGAGACCCTTAATGTGGATCCCGTTACCGGGAAGCGGTCCTTTAACGTATCCAAACTCATCTCAATGCCGCTGATGCAGTCTATTTATACGGAGTGCATGCGTCTTCATGTCTCCATTGCGCTCTCCAGAGAAGTCGTCGAGACGACCACGCTCCACGGCTTCCGCTTAGAGAAAGGCTCAATAATTCAGGCCCCGACGCATTTTGTGCACTTGGACGAGCAGATATGGAGCCAGGAAGGACATTCTGCTTCTGAGTTTTGGGCAGAAAGACATCTAAAGCATGTGAAGAAAGTAGAAGAAGGTACTGATCGACTTACCACCGAAAAGCAGTTTGTATTGGCGGGAAAGACCAATGACTTCATCCCGTTTGGTAAGTGGACTTTCCTGAGTTTCAATGACGAGGGGCATGTCACCACAATGACAGAGTAAACTAACATCATGCATAGGTGGTGGACCATCCATGTGTCCGGGGCGGTTCTTTGCCAAACAAGAGATTCTTCTCACAATCGCCATCCTTGTCACAAAGTTCGACATGGAGTTTGTTGAGTGGACAAATTTGGACGGGTCCAAGTCTGATCGACCCCCTGTGGATGATGAGCGGTACTTTGGTACAGCTGCTGTACCTCCGGATCGCGATGTCAAGGTACGGTGGAAGAAACTATGGTGACTTCTCCAACTCCAAGCCTTCTTACGAGTTGGTACGTGAAGTCATGTGTGATAAGTGACCTCAATAGTCCCCAAAATCCAATCTTAACTTCGACTGTGGGTGTATGTTCGCAACTTTGCTCTTTAGTGAGCCATGATTTCTGGTTTAATATGTGCCTTATATACTTCTAATGATGAACTATGAACATGAAGGGAATCCCACGGTGACGGTTCACAACTGCGAAGTTGTCATCGGAAATGAGACGGATACTGTTCCTTAAGCGTCGCTCGGAAGGATAGAAGGGTCAGCATTCTCGACCAGCATCTGTACATACTCATCGAACCAAGCACCAGCCCTAGGTGCACCCTCAAGACCACAGCGTCCGTCGCTCTCGCCACCTGGCTTCACCCACACGATGGAGTCAATATGGGTGTTGTTCACCGGCGTGCCGGGCTGCATACCGAACCCGGCTGGATGGACATTGCACCATTCACCCCACTCGGCTCTGCTGTTGGAGACACGGCCTTGGTCGATGATAAACCGGGATGGCAGATCTTCAGCCTCCAGATAGGGAGAAAGGGATAGCGCGTAGTGGTTCTCGTCATACGAGTTGCTCCATTCTGTGTAGTTGGCGCGGGGGTTGGCGTGGAAGGGGTTGTAGTTTGAGACGTTGGTCGAGAAACCGCGGATCTTGGTGTTATTGCCGGCCTTCTGGACGACCTTGGCGAAGAGCTTCGCGGCTATGATCATTGTCAGTAACTCATGTCGTCGGAAAGTGAGTTTTTGTCAATCACGAGACTTACAAGGCTCTAGGTTGTCGTTCCAGCCTAGCCATCCACCATGAGCAGCATCAATGTAGAGGTTGACGTGATCATACTGCAAGCTTGAGATAGCATATGCAATACCATCCTCGTACACCGGTTGCGCCTTGGCACAGAACTCGATTCCTAAGTTCGTTACAAGGTTCGCCAAGGAATCCGGCTCGAGAACAACGGCAAAGGTCAAGTCACTGGCTGCAGCCAGCTTCTCTGCGTATGGCTTGACAAAGGTCTCCTTGTACAACTCAAGCCCGTTGTTCTCGCTGCTAAATTCGCCAGCACTCTCTCCTGCACTGCAATCTCTGTCAGGGAGGTCGTAGAGTACCAGACCGACAATTTGCTGCTCGCCCGTCTTAGACTGAACGGCACGGGCTCGTTCGATAGCCGTGTCGATATTTGCTAGACCAGAAACGTCCGCAATCCAGACAAATGTACCGATATCTTGGATGGTTCGGACCTTGCCTGCGTTTACAGTGTCACCCTTGGCGACGAAGGCATCATGAGTCTGTTCAAGCTTATCGGCCCAGTCTGGGTTGGCGTAAAGCTTCTTCCCGTCGAAGGGGTTTGTTGTGTCGTTGCCGGTGCCTGCACGGCGGAAGTGATGTCCTCTCGTACCAAAGCGAGGTGATGCCGATACTGCTCCTAGGGTAGAAAGAAGAGTTAGAAGTGAAGCGAAATGCATTTTGACGATTGTCTGAATGAGCAGCTACTCGACCGGCGGGTTTGCTTGCGCGGATGTCAACTCATTCGCAATATCTTCTCCGTGTAGCAAACTTGCTGCTTCTTATACCTCGAGAGCTGGTCCAGTGATCACGTTTGCTACGGCAGTGTCTCTCCCATACCGGAGTGAATGTCGCCAGGTCAAGAACGGAACCAAAGGCGCCTCGCTGCAATGCGACGGTTATGATTTACCAAAGGGCCGTCAACACAGTTCTCCGTCCGAGAAGCCTAATTGAGAGAGGATCGACGCACAATCCAGGGCAAAGCGCCAGACTCGATGCATTATGCGATGGTGAAATGTGAGAAATAGATTGCAGGCCGAACAATCGTTGGGTTCCGGCTGCCGTCCCTGGCAGGTGGCTAAGATCTGATTTGTCGGAAAATAACAAGATGCTCGAATTGCCGAGCTAGGCCAAGATCCTTGATTGGAACCGACGGCTTCTCTTCCGAACTCCCAATTCGGAGCCACCTACCTGGTCGCTCACCTCTGGACAACTGGCCTTTTGGACTTTCTATTTCGAGCCTGTAACTCAACAGCACTAAAATTGATTGTTTCAAAAGCATACTCACTGGCTATGGAGAGTTATGCACGTGATTTTTGACACTCCTTGATTCGGGATATCGGGCTGGTGAACCGTCAACCCACAAGGCCTAAGGACAGTTACATACCGGAGTCTACCTATCAAGATACACGAAGCTCTTCTGATTGTGTTACTGCTGTTCGTTTGTAATTGTCTTAATCAGCTTATCAGATGGCATCTTACCTACCTCAGTGCGCCAGGGTCTCCAACGTTGATGGAAGGGCTCACTCACACCATCTAGCAAATATTCTGCCAGTGGCTAACACTCATATTCGTGGGACTATTTGAACAGAATTGAGTCGATTATATGTATAGAATCTTGGACTCTGTCAGATGTTTCTATTGCTAATGGCTCTCTCCATCTTGCAAAACCAGGATCTTTAGACGGAACAAGAATCTTTGAAACTAGAGCATAACAACACCGGGCCTTATACGCCCTTTTTTGCTTATCATAATCGTCATTCTGTGTTTCATTCGGGTGCTTCAGTTGCGGCATGTAATTATACGAGCGAAGGCATAAGAGCTCAACATGTTATGCTTTTGACATGTTATGCCTTCTTCGCCTACAAGTAGTCATCACCCGTGAGACGACCCATTACTGGTGAGATTTCTCTCTGTAAGCGACAGTCTTGATCATACACACCCTTCTTGTTCTATAAAAAGATGATTAGTATACCAGGATCACTGCAAATCGCTTACCTATGTTGGGACAATAAGTATCTTACTTCTAGGAGTACTTACCTACAGTAGAGTGTCTGACAATCCATAGAGTCCTAGTACCTACTTGAAACGACGTGTACGACATCCCACTTAATCAAACATCAGGAGTAGAAGGAATGTCAGTCACCAGGGGGTCGTCATCCCAGCTGTATCTCACGATGGTTTCAATGCCTCCATTGTCGTTTTATGTCAATGGCGTCGGAGGGATAATTGATGTCAAGGTTTTGCCAGCAAGCGTCCCATGATCCGTTCAATCCTCCCAACGGCGCCGACCAATTCGTTCTCTCCAGGTTGATTGTCACACGAGCTAGAAGACGATCCTTGCAGGTGTCAGCATATTAGCGGGCATCCTACCAGCCAAATCGACGAGTTATATGCAGCCCAGCAGCCAACCATCTGACCGCTAGCTTAACGCGGAAATCCCATGAAACATAAGACGCGTATTTCAGCAGCTTATCTTCGTCTAAGAAATGATTTGACAGTGAAGTGGTTCCACTGCCACTATGGTTCCTTTTTCCTTATACGCGAGAAAGAGGTTGCTAACGCCCTCGCGACACCCTAGTGGTTCTAGCGCTGATACGATCTACCGAATACGGTCAGCATTTCGTACGCGAAGGATCCTAGGCGGCTGCGTAGCAGGGTCCCTCAGTAAGCTTTCCTCCGCCTCCGTCGGCGAATTTTTACTCCCTGATTGCACGTCACCGCTAGGGTTTACGAAAACGAGAGGACTGAAGGGCCCCAGAGACACGTGGGGAACGCGGAGAAGGCGTTCGTGGAATCCGTAGTCCGTTCGAACTGTGTGACAGATTGCGACGTTCAGGGTTCAGCTGGGGTCGTACAGCGTACAAAGATCCGACTGCCCCGCAAGACAAACTTGAGACGTTTATCGATCTCGTCGATCTCCATCATCAGTGTGTTCTCTTTGAAGCATCGATAATATGTTGTGGCTACTGTGGGCGCCAGTCGCTCTCGCGGCTGTAATCATCGCAGTGGATCGACTGCGTAAGAAGATAAAGCCGAATTACGGGCTTCCACTCGTTGGATCTCCTAACGAACGGAGCCTGTCTTCCGCTATTATCGATGGCTATCAAAAGGTGATTATGCCGGGCTTCCTGTACTTCCTACTGAATCGTCAACTCACCGAGACCCGAATGACAGTATCCAGACACGGCGTTCGTGGTTCCAAGCGACCCCCCAAGGGTCATGCTTCCAATGAACCTATACCAAGAGGTTATCCAAGCACCAGACTCTGAGATGTCCTTCGCTGCTGAGATTTACGACATCTTCCTCGGCCGCTACACTCACGTCGGCGAGAGTCGATGGGAAGTAATCGAGGCCGTACGAATCGACTTGACAAGGAATATGTCTGGTGTTCTCCGGCCAATTCAGGAGGAAGCTAAGTTCGGCTTGAGTCAGCTAATTGGAAATTCGGCAGAGTGGAAGACTCTCAATAGCTACCATCTAGTTCTCCGCATGATCGGGTTGATGACTGGCCGGGTCTTCGTTGGCATGCCCTTGAGTCGCGAGGAGGACTGGATTAGGGCTTCGATTACCTTCGCTACAGATGTGGGCAAAAGTCGTATGGCTGCCCTCCGATGGAACCCGTGGATCAGGCCTTTTGTCCTCCCGTTTCTTCCTGAGGTGCGCCATACGCGCCGAGCGCTTCAAAAAGCAAACGAGCAGATGCGACCTTTGGTCAAGAAAGTTCTCCAAAGTGAAAACTTGCCTAACGAAAAGCCGGCGAAACCAGGTGCTCCTGGGGCTTTCGTATCGTGGATGATGAAGTATCTGACTGCCGAGGAGAAGACTCCAGAGACAATGGGGACCAACCAGATGTTGCTTTCGTTTGCTGCCATTCACACAACTTCCGGCACAACCACGTTGGTATGAACCTAGATTACATGCTGAATGGTCCAAAGTTCGAGCTAACGTTTTTCAGGCTCTTCACGACTTGCTTGGCCGCCCCGAGTACATCGAACCTCTGCGTGAGGAGATTGAAGAAGTCATCAAAGAAGATGGTGTAGAGAAAGACGAAAATGGGCAAGTGTTTCTTTCAAAGTCTTCTATGGGCAAGTTGAAGAAGCTCGATAGCTTCATCAAGGAAAGCCAGCGCACAAGTCCATTGAGCTTTGGTAAGTTACTCCTATTCTAGTATCAACTCGAGTCCAAAATTCACCTAAGGGAAAAGCCGGCACATCCAGAAGGCTTCGCAAAGATCAGACCTTTTCCAATGGCATGAAGTTGCCAGCTGGAACAGCCATCTCCTTTCCATTATGGGCTGTATAGTAAGTCGTACACGCCATGAGGCTTCGATGCCAGAGCCCAGGTGAAACTCAAAATCAGAGCGAGGCTCACAAACTCCTAGTAATTCTACCACAACAAAGACCTTCAGCCCAGAGTATAATGCCGAGACTGGCAATGCACCACCAAGCGAATTCGACGGTTTCCGTTTCGCACGCCTACGAGATCAACCAGGTCGTGAGATGAAGCACCAAGCTGCGACAACTGGACCAGATGCGTTCAACTTTGGGCATGGCCCGCACGCATGTCCGGGACGCTTCTTCGCTGTCTATGTGATCAAGTGCATATTCATTGAGTTGTTGATGAACTATGACATCCATCTGAAGGGAAGTGCCGGTAAAACGACGGAGAGACCACCGAACCAAATCAACAAAATGATCGTGCAACCGAATTTCGGGGCCGAGGTTGAGGTGCGAAAGCGTACTTAGGTTTGAACTCGGGGACTAGCTTTGAACATAAAGGGGGCGAAGATGTTTTAAGTAAGACTCATAATCTAGGCGAGACGAGCAATCAAGTTCACTAGCAGCAGGGCGATATTCAAGATTCTAAAGTTTGCAACCAAAAGGGTACCCGGGGCGCGAGTCTTTGACTACTTGGATCACTGATCGAAGGGCAAAAAGATGATGTCAATCGCTGACGGGAATTGAGCCCGACGTGGCTGGTAAATGTTAGTTATTGTACTGATGCTGCTGATCGTGGAATGAGGCTTACGGGTCGAACCCACAACCTTGAGATTAAGAGTCTCACGCTCTACCGATTGAGCTAGCCGGGCAGTTGTGAACAACTGCTGGTTGTTGGAGCGGCGGCTTCGTCGGTGGGATCATGTAGATGGGGCACGATACTATCGAGACCCTAGACTCAGGGCACCAAAATTTTCGAATCTAAGTGAGGCCGAAGTGGATCGTGGAACCAGGCCAAACCATGTTAATGTAAAACCCTTGGCGGCGGACCATCGGCTGCGTGATCGACAGGCCCCATCATGAATAAGGAACCGTCAAGTTCGGATGAACCGCCCAACAATTGTGCCCAAGAGACTCTTCGAACGGCGAGAATGCGAGAGGATGGAAATAGAGATCACTCTGCGTGGATTGACGCCATCTGGCATCTGAGCCAAGCAAGTGCCGAGTCGCGGGGGAGTCTCCCTTTTTGCAGCACACGGAGCGTCACACTCCGTCTTCAAATACATGAAGGCCAAGCCCCCTTCCGTCATCCCGGTTCGATGCTCTGAGGCCCCGGCAAACATGCTCAATCAAGAGAGACGGGATAGATTGTGGAGACGCAAAATTAACCTCCGCCACCCCTGGAATCTTAATGATCACCATACCCTTCCCCGGTGAGCCCCCTACGGCACACGGCGAGATTGACACAACGAGGGGGACAGTTCGGGACGAAGGAAGAGCCGCCCGACTTTCGTTTATAACAAACATTGATATCCCACCGGCGAAGCCACTCCTCTGGTTTCTCGGGACGATGCTGTTTCAGCTAATCTTTTCGTTTCTCTTCCTTTTCTTGTAACATCCCCGCGTTGATCTTCCGTGAAATCATGGCGAGATCTACGGCGCTTTCTCTCCGTGCCGTCCTCGCGTTTGCCGCTGGCGTGTATTCGCAGAACTGCATCGGCAGCACTGGAGCTAAGGTCTACGAGGCCGAAAATGGGGTTCTTAACGGAACCACCGTCGCGACGGAGCAAGCTGGCTTCACAGGTATGGCACGGTTATCATTTAATACTAGTCTCATCGTTTATTGACTTTTGGTGGTTCACAGGCACCGGCTACGTAACTGGCTTCGAGGATGCCACCGACAAGGTCACCATCAACCTGGACTGCCAGGGCGAAGGACAGAAGCTATTCGACCTCAACATCAGATACGCTGGTATCTACGGCGAGAAGCGCACCAATGTCATTCTCAATGGCGGTGCCGCTAGCGAGGTGCTCTTGGCCGCGACCGAGACCTGGGCCAACGTCTCCGCCGGTCAGGTGCTGCTCAACGAGGGCAACAACACGCTTGACATTGTAACGCACTGGGGATGGTACCTCATCGACTCCATCACGCTCACGCCCACCGAGGCCCGCGGACCTCACAATGTCAACACGGCTCTCGTCAACGCGAAGTCCAATGCTGATGCCAACGCCCTGTACACCTACCTTCGCTCCATCTATGGCAAGAACATCCTCTCCGGTCAGCAGGAACTCAACTACGCGAACTGGGTCAACGAGACCATCGGCAAGTCACCCGCCCTCGTCAGCGTCGACCTGATGGACTACTCTCCCAGCCGCGTCGAGCGGGGAACTGTCGGTACTGCCGTCGAGGAGGCCATCATCCACCACGAGCGCGGTGGTATCGTCTCCGTGCTCTGGCACTGGAACGCGCCTACTGGTCTGTACGACACGGAGGAGAACAAGTGGTGGAGCGGTTTCTACACTCGCGCCACCGACTTTGATGTCTCAACTGCCCTTGCTGACACCACCAACGCCAACTACACCCTCATTATCCGCGACATCGACGCCATCGCCGTCCAGCTCAAGAAGCTCCAGGATGCCGGAGTCCCCGTTCTTTGGCGCCCACTTCACGAGGCCGAGGGAGCGTGGTTCTGGTGGGGAGCTAAGGGCCCCGAGGCGTGCAAGAAGCTCTGGGCTCTGGTCTACGACCGTCTCACCAACCATCATGAGCTGAACAACCTCGTCTGGATCTGGAACTCGGTTGCTGCCGACTGGTATCCCGGCGATGATACCGTCGACGTTCTCAGCGCGGACGTCTACGCTCAAGGCCACGGCGTAAGCTTATCTTCATTTTCTTTCCTTTCACAGAATCCGTTGTTAACATGACCACAGCCCATGACGACTCAGTATAACGACCTCATCACGCTCGGACAGGACAAGAAGCTCATCGCGGCTACCGAGGTCGGCAGCGCTCCCTTCCCCGATCTTCTCCAGGCTTACGAGGCCCACTGGCTGTACTTCTGCGTCTGGAGCGATGGCTTCATCAACAACACCGAATGGAACAGTGTCGATGACTTGAAGAAAGTGAGTAGCATTGCCAACCCCTGTCTGCGCCGTGCTGGGCCTCTGGTACTAACATTTGAACTCAAAGATCTACGAGAGCGAGTATGTCCTCACTCTTGACGAGATTCAGGGATGGAGAGGTTGAGGATCGGGATATCGAGAAGAGCTTGCCTTCTTCTACTACCTTCTCTGTAAATACTTTTACCAAATCAGTGTATAAAAATCAAAGACTGCTGAGTCTTGTCTTCGAATTTCTCCGCGAGAACTCAGTTCGGTCTGTCCGGGGAAACGGCGCCAACCTGGAGGTGCTGTCTTTGTCAACACACTGGACGAGCCGACGGATGGCCTGATCGGGACTAAGATGAGCGTCGATGAGCTGTTACGCGTCTTTCAACCGGGTCCTGGCCAGCCATCTAGCCCCGAAATTCTAGACCCGAGTCTAGCCCTGCAATACGTCAGGCGCACTTTGGGAGAAAATTCTATACCTTTGACGTCAGCAGCTTCTGTTATCAAGGCACCGACAAGCAGCGACCCTGTGAGCAGGGACTGGCCTAACGGGACCAACGGGGAATTTGACGAAGGGGATGACGAAGGGGACGACGAAGAGGATGACGAAGAAGACGATGAAGAGGATGACGAAGAAGACGATGAAGAGGACTACTCAGGGAGTGACATGGAATATTCCGATATCGAAGGGTTTAAGGAATGGGAGTTTGAAGAGAACCCCAGCGGGTATGTCCCTGGCGAAGAGCTCAGAGTCATGAACTTTTGGCGGAACCGTGGTGTCTATGGACGGCCAACCTGGAGAGACATAAAGGCTTATATGGATGGAGTGCGACTCTGATTCAGACTTCGATGGCGCGTTCTATAATAAAGAGGAACAAGAGTGGGAAATTCGATACAACCCGCGCCGGTTTAGGTAAGGAACACTAGGTGCGACAAAGTATTGGATGGACTGTCTACGTGTAATATCAATTGTATATCTTGATGGACTTGGATTTGAACCTGCAAGTTTGCAGCTTGTTCTCGATTATGCTCAACGTACCTTAAACGGGAAAGCGACTCTCATCGCCCATTTATCTTGCAGATCTCAATGTCTGCCTTGCAGCCTGCTCTTCGCTAAGGTCGCTTGAGTAGATTTCTTTTAACCAAGTAGTCATCTGTGAATTGACCATCTTCGGTAGTCTCGGTTTTGATTTCCGACTTCTGGAGGTCATTACATCGCTTCTTGGCGAGAACCTTGCTCATAAAATGGCACAGTAATAGTAATTGCACGTGACGTCACGCGTCAAAGACGCGATGTGGTCCCGCCTTGCCCAGCCTCAGATTGCCGTTCCTTGTTCACAACTCCAAAGACATCCAAGTTGTCGAGACTATACCCCAAATACGGAAACCTTGACACGGGGTACTGAGTGAGTCTACCCCGCGTTACGCTCTTTCAAAGGCAAAGAGTAGATATCCGCAGGCAACGCAGGCAACGTTGGTAACGTAGAATGCCTGGGAATGGCGCCATTCACGATTGATGTGCGGAATGTATCCGGAGCCATCAATAGGACCGAGATGGAAGAGACGAGCGATAACCCAAGCCAAGAGCTCGCTGCAGTTTACCGGCGGTTGATAGAGGTCGACCCGACCTTCAAAAAAATCATCAACCACAAGCCAGAACTTAGCCTGGAGGACTGGAAAGCACGCAAGAAGGCAAATCCAAACGAGCTCGGCCCTTACTCGGACCTAATCGAACAAGGATTTGCTCTTCGAGCACACGTTCACGGCATTCTCAACCCGACGGACAGCAGATTTCTCAACTTGCCTTTCGAGCTCCTAGATCAGATCTGTTCTCACGTCGACACCGTCTCGGCACAGGAAAACGATTTCACCTGGGCGCAACCACACAAGAGGCGAAAAGTCGACATCGAAACTCTCCAGTCCCTTCGCCTGACTTGCCGCCGTCTCTGCGAGGCAGCATCCCCTTACTTGGTTCCTACCATTACGGTACACGTCACACGGAAATCACTCGATCGCCTGAATGCGATTTCCCGGCATGCGACCATCGGACGAGGCGTGCGCTGCATCCGCATCCCGCTGGGCTTCTACGATGCACTCGCAGCATTCGCACATGAAAATTTCATTCTCTTGGCGAAACACGAGCTCCGGAACTTGTTCCGGCGGGAATTCTCGCATGGGATGACGCGTAAGGACATGCTGTCAGACGGAGCAAAAGAGAAGCTTCAGGCGATATTCGATCTTTTGGATCGGCTCACCAACGACCAGCCTTGGGATGAGGAGCTTTCAAATGCATTTCACGGAGGACTCATTGGGAAAGCCTACGATACATACACGCGCCTCGAGGCCGAGCAAAAGCACCTTCACGATGACAGATGGCACAGCTTTTCCGATACTGTATCATTTACAATGAAGCGAATGCCGAATGCGACGAGACTGGAGATGAGCGATTCGTTTGAATCGCAGTGGATTCCGCCCGAAGGAGACGCCCTCGTCAATGACGACGAACTTTACCAATACCTCATAACTCCTCACCGATGGGAGCACGTAGCCACATCGGTTGCTCAACTTGAAGACGACCTCATGAGCGCTCGACGGCCGTTCGGATTCATCCCAGGCATTCTCGGAGCTACTGGCGTCTTCCTGACACGATTTGCTGTGCGAGTCAGCCCCATGCACTTTTGGGATGCATTTGAGACAGTGGGGGATGAGCAGACACTAGATGAATACACTTGGGTTACTGAACAGCTCCGGTGCTTCGAATTCACGAGCAAATATACGCTCAGCGATGGCCCTTCTAGAAGACCTCAGGTTACCTGGTCGAAGTTCCACGATGCGGCTGAGTTTGAAGGCTGTGGGAAGCTGCTCAGTGTTCTTACCACGACGGACAGTCTAGAGCGCATCTCGATCGACTTGGAGGAGTTCAGCCGCGACGCAGACACAATCGAAATCGGACCACAAAAGCCGTGGCATTTCAACTGGTTTGTCCGAACGCAACCATGGCCCAATCTCCAACGACTTACACTCTCGAATGTGCGACTCAGCTCTCACGACTTTGGCGTTCTTCTTGGCGATAGAGAGATAGAACTTAGTCTTAGCTCTGTTGAGATGGTTCAGGGTACGTGGGAGGAGACACTGGATATGTTGCGGCGCAAGACCGACGCGAAACAGCGGGGAGAGCAGGGTCTCGCGCCGCTTAGAATTATGGCTTTGACAAGTCTGTCTGGGGCTGAGTGCAAGGAGATGGGTGAAGATAAGTACCGCGTCTTGAGTCTTGCGGCTCAGGGCTATGTGTGGCATCTTCAAGAGAATAATCCTTTCCGATGGCGTCCAGAGGACTGATGTTCCGCCATGATTAGAGGTAGATCTGGGAAAGACGGTGCTGTAAGCAATTGAAGCTTTTGATGAAGCCCAATAGAGACATGATTGAAGGCCTCCAGCCTCTCGAACTCTAGCAATTTGCGTCCCTAAGTCAGAATCAACTAAACGCGTCTCATTGCTGTGACTGAAAATGCAACCCCGCACTTTTCGATTGCCCCTCTACCCCACCAATTGTTACCCCTCCATAGTGCTTGAACAGCGTGAATAGGAAAAGAGACAACATTAACCTTCAACCAATCTGGGTTTGTATACGTCAGATTGAACAAGTACTCAGTATGGAGGACACAAAGAAGCCTCATGTAGTTTCATCTGAGCCACTGGTGAGTTGCAATGAGTTAACATGACGCGTTGATTCAACAAGCACGGCTAATGTGTCTGGTGATTGAACACGCAGGAGATTGGAGATGCCAAATGGATGACGTTGGTCAAGTCGGTACCACCTCAGCTAATGATCTCATACGAAACTACATCGTAATGTTCAATAGACCTAACCGGACGTTTAGGATCAAGTACAGAGACGTGGATGGTAAAGACCGCCTCTGGGAAGGAGTTGAGAGAAAGACACGCGCAGCAGGCAGTTCAGTCGACGCGGTGCATATCGTTGCCGTGTTAAAGAAAGAAACTGGCCCAGAGCTTCTGCTCCAGCGACAGTTCCGCCCGGCCGTGGGTAAAATCTGTATCGAACTCCCCGCTGGACTGCTTGACAAAGGCGAAACCGTCGAACAGTGCGCGATCCGCGAACTCGCAGAAGAGACAGGCTACGTCGGTACCATCAAGCCGGATTCGCATGGGAACAGCCCGAAGCTTTTCGGCGGTAAGTGATCAGTTTGCAAATTGATCTACGTTGAAGACCTCCAACGCTAACATTTTACAAGCCCCTGGTTTCTCCAAGTGTGTCACGCCCAGTGCCTGCCTTCAGCCAGCCTAAATATTGACTCTCTCTAGTTCCTGCTCTGTCATGGTCCATGTTGATATAGACATGCAAGCAGAGGACAATCGCAATCCCAAGCCGCGCTTGGAAGAAGGGGAGTTCATCGAATGCTTCTCACTGCCCTTGACCAGCCTTTACGTCGAATGTAGGAGACTTGAGGCCGAAGGTTATGCTATCGATGGAAAGCTCGGGTCTTTGATAGAGGGCTTTCACATGTCTCAGGTGTGGCGGACCTAACACCGCATGATTGGACCATGTAGCTTCCAGAGCTCTCTATCACATCACAAAGACGACCAGGCTTCTGAAGCCGTGTTGATGGGAATGGTCCCTCTGATAGATCACGCGTGTCTAGGTCACGGGGTGAGAACAGCCTTTCTTAGGAAAAACACGAGCAAGTCTCTCTCGGCGATACGAAGGCTACTCAATGGATGATTTAGTGATGGTGGAACATGAGGGCGGTGTTCACGATGTGCCGAACCAGATGGATCGAAAATCTGTCAAAGGTCTCCTGATACGACGAGCCCTGTCCGATTCACATGCTCGAAGGGGCTCACTTTGGTCACACCAGAAGCGTAACCTCATAGACTCGTAAATCATAGTTCAACCAAGGGCCACGTTCACATCTTGAGAGACGACTTGATGGGGACAATACAATTTGAAGAATTTTCAATGGATGAATGATTGTCAGGATGTGTGAGAGCCACCCCAAATTGGTATCATAACAAAAGGCAAATCAACTTCTACGTACATGCAACTGATCCCACAAACCAATCAGCTTCTACTCAAATCTCAAAAACAAAGAAAGCCAAAAAAGGATCATTTCTTTTCCGTACTCGCCGTCGTCTCCGAGTCAACGTTTCCCGGGATCTTTCCCTCCAGCGTGCCCTCCGGCCCAGGCTGGAACTCCTCCTTAGCGACCGGGGGTCCGTGGAAGTTCTTTCTCGCGTAGGCAAAGTACCAGGTGATGGCAATGAAGGCGAAACCGGCAAATACAACAGAGGCGTAGTTCATGGTCGAGGCGTCGACGGGCAAGCTGACGGGCATGCAGAAGATGATAACGGCGAAGCAGATCCAGACGATGCAGATGCAGTTGATGGCGGTGCCGAACTTGCCGAGCGGGTAGGGCGAGTTAGCGACGGCGCGGCGGCGCTGGATGAGGTTAACGAGGACGGGCACGCCGTAGCTGGTGGACAGGCAGATGGTAGCAACACCGGTGAAGGAGTTGAAGGCGGCGCTGGAGCCAAAGTAGATGCAGCCAAGAATCATGTCGACGCCCGTAGACAGACCGAGGGCCCAGAGGGGCATGTCGAGCTTGTGGTTGACGCGGCTCCAGAGCTTGTAGCCGGGGATGGCGCCGTCGCGGGCGAAGGCGTAGGTGCAGCGGGAGGCGGCGGTCAGAGCGCCGATGCCGGCGAACATGAGGATGCCGAGGATGAGGAAGAGGAGGCCGAAGCCACCGGCGGCGGAGCCGGTGACGGTCTTGAAGAGGAGGCCGATGGGCTGAGAGTTTGCGACCTCGAGGAGCATGGTGACGTCGGGGAGGACGAAGAGGATGGGGATGAGGTAGATGACACCGGTGACGCCGGCGGCGGCGACGGAGAGGACGATGGCGCGGGGGACTTCGCGTTCGGGGTTCTGGACTTCCTCGCACATGGAGGCGACCATGCCGTAGCCGGTGAGGGTGTAGGCGGCTAGTAGAAGTGTCAATTGGGGTGTATTCGTGAGCATAGGGTTATGGCGAACATACCTTGGAGCAAACCGACGAAGAATGACCAGCCAGGAGCCCATCCACTGGCGGAAGCGTCGTAGTGGGTGAAGACAAACTCGGCAGATCTCTTGCTGGGGGCCATGACCAGGATAGTGATCATGATGATGAGAACGGAAGCACCAGTCCAGTAGATGCAGACCTGAAAAAACATTGGTCAGCATTCTCGTTCCGATGCTGATTTCTCATAGCATGCCAAACCCACCTTGTTGATCAGATCCAGGTACCGCGATCCAAACGCATTCACTCCAGCGCAAACCAGCATAACAGCCCAGAAGCAGAGCACAGTCTGCCACGTATTGGCAACAAAGTCCTCGTTGAAAACACTAATCGCACTGAGAATCAACTGCGCACCGCTAAAGTTGATACTCAGGGTAACAGTCCAGTTGCCGACGAGGGTAAGCCACCCGTCCACGAAGCTGACGAGCGGCGCCCAGCCGGCGGGTGCCAGCATGGCGGACCAGTAGTACACGCCGCCGGCAGTCGGGTAGACGGCGCAGATCTCGGCGAGGGAGGCGGCGATGCAGAGGGAGATGATGGAGACGAGGACCCAGCCCCAGAGGACGGTGACGGCCTGGCCGTTGGTCAGGGTGATGTACATTGTGGTGCTGAGGCCGAAGGGGACGGCCATGATGGCGAAGGAGAGGCCGAGGATGGACATCATGGACAGGTTGCGCGGGAGCTCGGCCTTGTAGCCCAGCCTGGCGAGGGCCTGGTCGGCGGAGACGCGGGGAGGTGCTTCCATGTTTGCGGTCTCTAGTCGTCGGTGATTGTGAGGTTCTGAGTGTTGGTGGTTGAGGGTATCGTGTGGTGTCAGTCCACGGGTGGTAGACGACTCAATCGAATCGGTAGGACGTCGATTGGCGTCTGTAGATGACTTAATGGCTTTGTTGGTTGTTGTAGAACCCCGGATTCGGACAGCCTCGCTCGGTGACGTTTCTCGCCGGGGGGAACGGGGTAGACGGACGAGTTTGCGGGGGAGGAGTCTGGAGATGCGGCAATTGAGGAGCAGGAGTATTAAATGAACGTAATGGAAATGTTGAAAATGTTGGCACAGACACACACGCACTCCACGAAGAAATGGTAGGGGACCGCGTCTTTTTGGCAGTGAAGAAAAAAGACCGCGTGCGTTACATGGGAACCGAGGTGTGTGGTAAGAAAAAGGGGACTAAGCCATTCTTTAGTAGCCCAGACTTTCTCTCTCCCAATTGTCTCCATCAGCTTGTTCGTACGGGACTAGAACTAAACCACGTTCAACACACGCAAGAAGAGTGGTCTCGGTCCAGGGTACAGACTAGACTAGTCTATCCGGCAGTCAAGCTTGAAGCAAGCCAGGCCCGGCCCAGTACCATCTACGGGGACGGGGCGAGTCACACACACATTCAAATGACACAGAAGCGCGGCTACGTCCAATGCGACAAGAAACGGACGGGAGGGCCTGGCTGCGGCCGGGGGGTGGCACTGGTAGGATAGAAGGGGAGGGGGGACCCCGGCCTTGGGCATGGAGCTCTCTCGTTCAAGACGATGCGCTAATCTTTTGCTCCTCTTCTATTTGACAATTGCCAGGCTGTCAGTAGGAAAGCCGAGAGAAAGAGAGTCTGAAAGAGAGACGAACGAATTGTCCTCCTCGGGTCTCCTCTTTTCTTCCCCCACGCCCCGCAACGACCTGACGGAAGTGAGGAGAGAAAGTGGAAACTGGCCGAGATGCACAGCTCACGATCAGTGGATCTCTCAGCTTGCCCAAGCCTCTTGGGCTGAAGCCGAGTTGTCTGGGCTATTTGTGATGTTCAAATCCGTGAATACGTCAGGTCAATGGTTAAGCAACACTTGGAGTCTTCGACAACACCTGAACAGCTGGTTCCTAATCCGTCAATGGCATGAAATGATGCTTCACTCCAAATGATCGTCTTTATCTACGTACCCACCATCTAAAGTGGGAAACCCGATTGTGGCGCCTTGACAGACGGGGGCGGTTTTAGGTGCAGCCAGCCGGTAACGAGTCTCGAGGAGGGAGAACCTGGATCAGAGGACCACCCACCTCCGGGACCGCGATTATCTTTGGCAGGCTGGCAGCTTCGGGGGCGGCCTTTGATGATTGATTACGATGACAGGCCAGTTCAGGCGCCCCTGGGGCGTGGTAAGCGTGTGCGTGTCAAGCCACCACCACCACAACCACAAACCACCCAGAAGGGCACCACCACTTCGGGGCGCCGCTTGGTTCGTTGGTTCGTGCGTATCAGGACGTTAACCCGGACGGCACCAGGACACACCCATTTCTGGTAGTCTCGCCTTGCCTGATGGCTGGGATGCTGAATCATGTTTAACCGCGGTGTGTAGACTCTGTGTATCAGTGACTTGGTCATCTCTATCTTCCTAGCGAGACTCTCTCTCTCGTTGACTTCATTTTGAGGATGAAGATAACCGAATGCTGTTTGCTCACGAAGGACCATCGTGACCAGATCTCGGGTAACTCGGAGAAGCATAGAGGGGGGTTAAACACTCCTCCTATCGGGACCGCGGTGTTGGCGTCGTCCAAAAGTGTCGAAACCCCATCGTCCACGTTCCAAGCAGTCCGTCTTTTCCCCAGGAATTGATCGGTTACAGGGAAACCACAGCCTACAGCGCGGTAAACTACAAGGCGAGAGAATGGTCACCTCGCCAAAAAGGCTTGTTTCTCCAGCTCGTGTAGCTCGTGATGTCATTGCCCACCCTATCATGCATCTTTCCCCCCCTCCTCCTTCTAGGCTTCTCCTGGGTAAGCCCATTGAAAGCGTTGGCTGCAATGGAACACTCGCTGCAACAGAACGAAAGGGTCGATCACTTTGGGGAAACGAGCTTGGCGGCGTTCAATGGATGCTTGGGCTGAGGGAGCGCGCTGGAGATAGACGTGCTCACGTGGTGCAGCGTTGCTCATGCATTTCGCGTCCGCAGAAGAACGCCAGCAGTGAGGAGATGGAGGAGATGGTGTCGTGCCACTGACTATCTCGTCCTATCACGACCCTTACCGCGTTGGCTTTCGTCTCGTCGTCTCTTCAATACCCCCAAAATCTTATCAGCTTGTCGAACCATGCCTTCGAATCGACGCCTCCCCCGGCAATAGAACGATGCCCCTTCTGGACAACGCAGGTCGGGCAACCCGGGCACATGGTTTAGATTGCCGTGGCTCCAGTGTTCCAATGCCGTCGTACCAGACTCCTAGACTCCCAGACCAGTCCCGAAACGCAAGCTGCTGTCCATTTGATCCAAAGAAGCTCACCTCGACTTCCTCGCGATGTCTACGGAGTACACCGGCAATGCTCCTCAACGTGGAAGTCCAACCCCGCAAGATTGGGCTCGCCCACAGCCCACAAGGGCCCCTTCCCCCTCCCCGCTGACACATACAATTGCAGTGGAGAAACGGATCCCGAATCCACACGTCTCAATGATAAGAGACGGCTCTTCTCGGAAGCAGAATCTGGGTTTCGGAAGGGAG